TGTCCCTTCAAATGTCATCCTGGGTCCCTCAAAGCCTTATTATCGAGCATCTAACATATTTGCTCATGGAACCCCAGTGGCACAGTGATCAAGTTCTCAGCTGCTAACCGAAAGGTCATTGCCCCACACCACCAGGGCTCTACTGGAGGGAAAAAAAACTGACAACCAGCCCCAATAAAGATTACAGCCTTGAAAATCTTCCTAGGTTGTTCATCCCTGTCCTTGAAGGTTGCTATGAGTCAGAATCAACGCAATGGGCATGTCTGAACACTGCTGAGGGTCTCAACCTCCTATTGCTTCTCCCCACAATACCGATGGTCTTCTACGAACACACCCCAAAACCAGAAATACCAGAAAGTTGTTTATTGACTGTATTTTATTAAAACATAGAAAATGTTTTATTAACCGTGAAAAGGTATAAGACTGTGTGCATCACAACAAACTATGGAAAGCCTTGAGAAAAATAGGAATTCAACAACACTTCATTGTATTCATTTGGAACCTATACATGAATGCAGAGGCAGTTGTGCAGAAAGAACAAGAGAACACTGCATGGTTTAAAAGCAGGAAATGTGTCCATCAGGATTGTATCCTCTCACCATACTTATTCAATCTGTGTGCTCTGATAAGCAGATCATCAGAGAAACTGTTTTATATGAGAAGAGTGGGGCATGGGGATTGGAGGAAAGTTTATTAGCAACTGCGGACAACACAGCCTTGCTTGCTGAAAGCAAGGAGGACTTTAAGCACTTGCTGATGAAGATTAGGGGTTCCAGTCTTCAGTTTGGATGGTTCAGGAAGGCAAAGTAAAATAGTATACTGTAGAACACAAAGGTCTAGGGTTAGAAAACCAAAAAGGAAGAACATACACAACGTATCTTAAACTGAAAGAACTCGAGAAAAAATTCCAACCTCGAGTTGCAGTACTGAAAGTTTCATTACAATTCAATGTAATGAAAAAAAAACAAAATCCTCACCACTCAACCATTAGCTAACATCACGGTACTTGGAGGAAGGATGGAAGTTCTCAAGATTTTACACTTGCTTGCATCCAAAATCAGTGCTTGACTGAAGCAACAGTCAAGAGATCACGTTGTGTTAAGAAAATCTGCGACACAGCCTCTTTCCAAACCTGAAAAATAAGAATGTTATTCTGAAGACTAAGATAGCCCTGCTATAATCCATGGTATTTTTAATAGCCTCATATACATGTGAAAGGTGGACATTGAATAAGGAAGACTAAAGTAAAATTGATTCATTTGAATTTTGATGTTGGTCAAGAATATTGTAAATAGCATAGACTTCCAAAAGAACAGAGAAAACTGTCTTAAAAAAAGTACAGCCGGAATGTTCCTTAGGAGCCAGGAAGGCAAGACTTGGTCTCCAGTCATTTGGATATGTTATCGGGGAAAGACCAGTCCCAGAAGAACATCACGCTTGTTCAAGTGGAGGGGCAGCGTAAAAGAAGAAGCCCAGATATGAGATGGATTGGCAAAGTGATTGTAACACTGGACTCAAACCTGAGAACAATTTTGGGGATGGAGCAATACCCAGCCAGTTTTGTTCTGTGGTACACAGATTGGAAACCAACTTCACAGCACCTAACAACAACAAAAACAACAACATGATGATAACTGTTAGCTAAAATATGAATAAAATTTAACGTAAAGAAAAAATTGAAAGATTTCTGCTAGATTATCAATCGGCAAAATATATTTACAAGAAGCTAAAGAAAAGTTGATGAAAATGAATGAAGGATGATTTTAGAAAAGTGACCATATTCAAAATTTCATACAGACACTCACAGCAATAAAAAGAAATATTCTTCTTTCAATCAGTTGAATTAAAAGTATGGTTTTTTTTCTGAACAATTTATACACAGCTTGGCTAGACATTAGATTTTATTTTCACTTTGAAAAAGTTTTTACTTCCCAGATCAATACTGAAAATAAAAATAAGAAAAATTTTATTTTATAAAAATAAGAAATATCCATGAATTTAAGAAATGGACTATTTTTGAGCACCTATGACACAAACAGTCATAAATACCCAGAATGTAATTGAAATGACAATTTTTAATTATTGTTGTATAAGGTCGACAGGAGTAGCAGTGAGATTGGTTTCTTTGGTTGTTAGTGACCTTGCAGTTGATCTGGCCTCGTTCAGAGTAAAATGGTTCCAGGGGTTTTTCAAGGCTCTACCTTTTGGGAAACAGGTCACCAGGCCTGCTTTCCAACATGTCTCTGGGTAGATTTATATCACCAACTTTTTAGGCAGTGATGCCACCTCAAGATGCTTTATTAAAAATTATTAAAATTCAAATTGTCATTTTGTTGTGTAAATCACATAGATCAACCCTAATTAGCTAGTTATTAAAACCTAACTTATAGCACTTAGATGACTTACAAAGTTCAAGTTGAGACCAATTTTCTTCCATTTTGCTATCCCTGTATGGACACTGTAATGTGTGTGTCTACATGTGGACCCAACATCTCATATGTGCAAATAGCTATACTTTATAGGTGTCCCTGCGTGGTGTAAGTAGTTCAGATACTCAGCTGCTAGCAGGAAGGTTAGAAGGGCAAGCCTATCCAGACACACTGAGAAGAAAGGCCTGCAGATATGCCTCCCCCAAATCAGCCATTGGAAACCCTATGTAACAGTTCTACTCCAACACCCACCGAGTTGCCTTTACTTGGATTCCACAGAATGGCCCTTTACAAAAAAAAAAAAAAATTGATTGCTGGCAAATGTGTGATGTAGGAAAGCAAGGAGAGAAAATCCATCAATCATATTCCTATTTCCATGTTGACCTATGCAGGTTATCAATGCTCATGACTAAATGCAACTGCATATGAATTTCTCCTATGTGTCCCCTGACTCTTCAAAAAACAAATATCCATCACCATCACACTTTCCTGTTTCGGCACAAAGACAGACGTTTCTGTAACAACTAAAAGCTGGTCTTCTTGCAGAGTGAATAGATAGTCTGTTCCTCACCCATTAATTGACCATTAGTCTGCTTGTTTCAATACCAAAATTTCTGAGAGCAGTATTGCTACCATCTCTTACTATTCCTATGGGCCACTTTTCCCCCATATAACTTGACTGAGTCTAATTGTGAGATCCTTTAAGAGTAGAATGAAACTTTTTGGCTTTATACAGATAGATATTTTGATGTGTTAGTGTTAACTCTTATTCAAAAGCTCCATCCTCCTGCCTCACACACAGAATATATTTTTAAAACAGGGACATATTTTTAATTTCTTGTTCTGTTTTTTCTAAATAAATATATGAATATTTATATTGCCAAGAAATAATATATCTCACTATATTCATGCTTAAATTGGAATTATTAG